AGTGGTACTCTTAAATGGTGAGCTATTTTTGTCTGAAAACTCCCAAAGAGCTATAGCAAAAATCAGACATAAAAATAATATGAAACAAACATTTCTCCCCTCCCCCCCCAAAATGAGATCATAGGATATATAAGAACTTAGTGTATAAAAAATACAGAATTTCGAATCCATGGATTTTATTTATTTACTTACTATGGTAAGAATACTTAATATGAGATCTACCTTCTTAGCAAATTTTTAAGAGAATAGCACAGAATTGTTAACGATAGCAGATCTCTAAAACTTGTTCATCTTGTAAAACTAAAAGTTTATACCAATTGAACAACAACTCTTGAGTTTCCCTTACCCCCAGTCCTTCACAGCCACTATATTCCACTTTGTTTCTATGAAATTTGACTATTTTAGATACCCCATGTCAGTGCGATCATGCCATATTTGTCCTTCTGTGACTGGCTTATTTCACTTAGCATAATGTTCTCTAAGCTCATTCTTAATATGGCAGGATTTCCTTCCAAGGCAGAATAGGATTCAATTGTATGTACATCTAGGTTTTCTTTATCCATTCATTCATCATTGAACATTTAGGTTGTTTCCACAGCATGGTTATTGTGAATAATGCTAAAAAGAACATGAGATCCCGATTTCAATTCTTTTGGGTTGTATACCCAGAAGTGGGATTGCTGGATCACAGATCTATTTTTAAGTTTTTGAGGAACCTCCATACTGTTTTCCATAGTGACTGCACCATTTTACATTCCTCCCAAGTGTACAAGATGCCAATTTCTCTACATCCTCACCAACACTAATTATATTTTGTTTTTCAGAACAGCCAATCTAATAAGTGTGAAAGGACATCTTATTGTTGTTTTGATTTGCATTTCCCTGATGATTAGTGATACTAAGCATGTTTCCATATACCTGTTGGCCATTTGTATGTCTTTTCTGAAGAAATGTCCATTCAAGTCCTTTGCCATTTTATTTATTTATTTATTTATTTATTTATTTATTTATTTGCTATTGAGTCATAGGAATTCCTTATATATTTTGGATATTAACTCCTTTTTTTTAAAAAAAGATTTTATTTATTTGACAGAGAGAGACAGCGAGAGAGGGAACACAAGCAGGGGGAGTGGGAGAGGGAGAAGCAGGCTTCCCGCTGAGCAGGGAGCCCAATGCAGGGCTCGATCCCAGGACCCTGGGATCATGACCTGAGCCGAAGGTAGCACTTAACCAACTGAGCCACCCAGGCGCCCCACCACTGTGTATTCTTGGCACGCTTGTCAAAGTTAAGGTGACCATATGCTATGGACTGAATGACCCTGTCCCCCCCAGAATTCACATGTTGAAATGTAATCCTCAAAGTGATGTTATCTGGACCGGGGCCTTTGGGAGGTGATTACATCATGAGTGTAGAGCCCTAACGAATGGGATTAGTACCCTTATAAAATAGATTCCAGAAAGCTCCCTCGCCCCTCATACCATGTGTGGTTATAGCCAGAAAAGAGTTATAAACCAGGAAGGAGGCCTTCACCAGACACTGAATCTGCTGATGTCTTGATTTTGGACTTTCCAGCCTCCAGAACCAAAAGAAATAAATTTCTGTTGTTTATAAACCACCCAGTCTAGGGTATTCTGTTATAGTAGCCCTAATGGACTAAGACACCCAATATGCATGAGTTTATTTATGGGCTATTCTGTTTCATTGGTCTGTATGTCTGTTTTTAAGCTAGTACCACACTGGCTTAATTACTGTAAAAAAAAAAAAAATATATATATATATATATTTTTAAGATTTTATTTATTTGGGAGAGAGAGCAAGAGTGAGAGAGAGAGAGAGAGAGAGAGAGAGAGAGAGAGAGCAGGAGCAGAGGGATAGGGAGAAACAGACTCCCCGCTGACCGGGACCCTGGGATCATGACCTGAGCCAAAGGAAGACGCTTAACCGACTGAGCCACCCAGGAGCCTGTGATATATTTTGATTTTAGGAATTGTGATGCCTACAGCTTTGATTTCCTTTTTCAAGATCACTCTGGCTATTCTGGAACTTTTGTGGTTCCATATAAATTTTAGAATTTTCTTTTTTTTCTGTAAAAAAATGCTACTGGGCTTTTGACAGGGACTGCACTGAATCTGTAGATCACTTTGGGAAGTATGAACATTTCAACAATAGTAATTATTCTGATGCATGAACATGGTATATCTTTCCATTTATTTGTGTCTTTTTAAATTTCTTTCATCAATATTTTGTAGTTTTCAGTGTGCAAGTCTTTCACCTCCTTGGTTAAGTTTATTCATCAGTATTTTATTATTTTGATGCTGTTGTAAATGGGATTGTTTTCTTAATTTCCTTTTTCAATAGATTGTTATTAGCATATAGAAACACGACTGATTTTTATACCTTGACTTTGTATCCTACAACTTTATTAAATTCATTTATCAGTTCTAACAAGTTATTTTTGCTTGTCTGTTTGGTGGAATCTTTAGGCTTCTCTACATATAAAATCCTGTTAACTTTTATTATTGCTTCATAAATGGTGCTGGGACAACAGGTTATTAGGAAGAGGTTATATCAATTACATTATATGAGAACAAAAAATTATGAGAGGAAAATACAAGTGAATATCTACCCAATTTAGGAATAAAGAGGACCTTTTCAGTTACTAAAGGTCTGGAAAAAAACACAAAGTAAAACATTAATGGATTACATAAGAAGTAAACATTATTCGCCTTAAAAGACACCATTAGCAAAAATGCAAGACCAAATGAAACAATATTTTGACACAGATGATAAAGGGTTACTATCCTTACTTTAAAAGGATACTTAACTGGATATTTATTAAAGACACCAATAAAAAAAACCAAAGGACATGATCAATTAATAAAATACTAAAAGAACAGCCAATGAATACGAAAAATTATTTGACTACAGATATAAATAAATGGATAACACTTTTGCCTAACAGATTGATATTTTTGTTTTTTATAACAGCCAGTGTTACAGAGCCTTTAAAATATCAATAACTTTTGCTTCAAAATTCCAATTATTAGAATCTAACCAAAAAACATAATCAGAGACTCAGAGAGGTGAACAAAGATCTTTGAAAAAGGCTGTTCCACTTAGTTTTTATTTTTAATACTATAGGACATTTTAAACAACTTTGGTGCTCAAAAGCAGAAGTATCTTTAAATAATCATATATTCATAAATTGGAAAAAGGAAAAATAGTATTAGATGAAAAAAACCAGATATGTATATAAAATGTAATTTCAATTTCATTTTAACAATTAATAAATGTGAATATAAACACATATGTAAATAATCAAGGAGAATATACCCAAATGAAAACAAAAGTCACCATGGGGTAGATATGATGAACTCATAATTTTTGTGCAAACTGACTCACATTTTCTTTTTAACCATGAAATATCCTTATTGGCAGTCTCTACATAAAGACAGCATGTATCATATGCTGGATGAGAATATTCTTCTAAAGCACATTTTGGAAAGAATTAATCAGCATGATTTTTAAAATACCTGTCTGTCCCACAGATTCAGGGAATATCTTGGAACACTGGAAGAGTTGTGTTAAGTTCTCCCTTCACCCGTCTTTTTTCAATTTCTTCTTTATTACTTTTTTTTGGCTTGTATTTGAAAGAATTATTTGACATATACAAAATGATAATTTTATTTTTTGACATTATACCCTTGATCAAAAATTGGAAGAATACTTATTTTATGTTTCTTTCTCCTTGAATACATGTCTTCTGATATTAACATGCAGTCCCTGATTTCTTTTTTTGCATTTATTTGCCTTATCTTTGTCTTTCCTTTTATTATTTATTTTCTTTGTCACATTCGGGGTGAACAGCAATTGACATTACTCCTTTCTAACTCAACCTAAAAGTCTCTGCCTTTTAATAGAGAATTTTAAACCATTTACATTTCTGCTATATGCTGAATCTCTCTTTTGTTATCTTATTTCACCATTATCTTAATGCCTCCTAGTTGTTTCCTTTATTTTCAGACTTCAGACTGCTTTTAATTTTTGCTTTGTTTTTAATTTTCTCTAGCATGTTGCAAAGTAGAAGATGTGTTTTAAAAATCCTACTCAAGAGAGAAAATATTCTCTTTTTACCCTCCTCCTTTACAAAGAGTTATTTGCGGGATGCCTGGGTGGCTCAGTTGGTTAAGCATCTGCCTTTGGCTTAGGTCATGATCCCAGGGTCCTGGGATTGAGCCCCATGTCAGGCTCTCTGTTCAGCACGGAGCCTGATTCTCCCTCTCCCTCCACCTGCTGCTCTGCCTACTTGCGCGCTCTCTCTCTCTCTCTGACAAATAAATAAAATCTTTAAAAAAAATTTAAAAAATAGTTATTTGCATAAATTGGTGCCCTAATAAAGTTCTAATGTGAGCTTTCAAGTGCAGCACTGATTGGGTAACTTTTGAGGATAAAGGCAGCACTCATATTAATTATGAAAGGACAAGTGTCAATTGGAAGCATCTTAGGTAAACAAGGATTGTGGTCACTCTATCTCTGGGTGATAGGAATAAGGAGGTGCAGGCATGGGGGTGAGTAGAAGATTTCACTTTGGTATATTCTGTATCCAAAGTGATTGATAAACATTCAAAGGTAGGTGTTCAGTTGGCAGTTGCATACATTGGTCAAAAGCTTAGGAAAGAGGGGCGCCTGAGTGGCTCAGTCGTTAAGCATCTGCCTTCAGCTCAGGTCATGATCCCAGAGTCCTGGGATCAAGTCCCGCATCAGGCTCCCTGCTTGGCCAGAAGACTGCTTCTCCCCCTCCCACTCCCCCTGCTTGTGTTCCCTCTCTCGCTGTCTCTCTCTCTGTCAAATAAATAAAATCTTAAAAAAAAAAAAAAACTTAGGAAAGAGCTGTGGGCTTGATATAAAGATTTCATAGTTATCAACAACATAGCTAATAAATAGGGCCATGAGACTGAATAAAAAATAGAGGCAGTAAGTATATAAAGAAAAAACTGATTCCTGAACAACACCACTTAATGTTAAACAAACCTAAAAACTAAGCAAAAAACCAAAAGAATCACAATTTGCAGTCAGAAGAGTAGGGGGAAAAAAAAAAAGAGGGTTGACTCCATTCCTTGCCATGTCTTCTCACAAGACTTTTAGGATCCAGTGGTTTCTGACCAAGAAACAAAAACAGGATTGTCCCATTCTGCAATGGATTCAGATGAAACCTGGTAAGAAAATCTGGTACGACTCCAAGAGGAGACACTGGAGAAGAACCCAACTGGGTTTATAAGAACTGCATCAAGGTCACTAGCATCCATCTTTTCATATCAAGTTGAAAACATTACCGCTATCTGGGCAGTTGGATAAGTCTTATTGGGAAAATGGCTTTTTTCTCTTTGTTTCTATACCTTTGTATTAGTAGGTTGGTTCAGTAATAAATATGTGAGATCATTGGTTTGAAAATAAAGATAAATAAGTGTAGTAATGGAAGAAGGTAAAGTGTTTTAGGGAGTAAGGATTTGCCAGTGTTGTTAAATGACATTCAAGGATCACGTAAGGAAAGGACTAAACAGGCAAATCTCAGAGATATTGCAAGTTTGCTTCCAGAACACCTCAGTAAAGTGAATATTGCAAGAAAGCAAGTCAAATGAATTTTTAGTTTCCCAGTGCATATAAAAGTTATGCTTACCCTATGTGGCCTATTAAGTGTGCTATAGCATTATGTCTAAAAAACATACATACTCTAACTAAGGAATACTTTATTGCTAAAAATGCTAACCACTGGGGCATCTGGGTGGCTCAACTGGTTTAGTGTCCAACTCTTGATTTTGTCTCAGGTCATGATCTCGAGGTTGTGGGATCAAGCTCCGCAATGGGCTCTGTGCTGGGCTTGGAGCCTGCCTGAAATTCTCTCTCTCCCTCTCGCTTTGTCCCTCCCCACTGCTTATGCTTGTACATGAGTACTCTCTCTCTTAAAAAAAAAAAAAATGCTAACCATTACCTGAGCTTTCAGCAAGTCATAATCATGGATCACAGATTACCATAACAAATACAATAATAAAAAAGCTTGAAATATTGTGAGAATTACCAAAATATGACACAGAGACACAGAGTGAGAAAATGCTCTTGGAAAAATGGGGCCAACAGACTTGCTCGACAAAGGGTTGCCACAAACTTTCAGTTGGGAGAAAACAGTGTCTGCAAAGTGCAGTAAGAAGGGCAGTAAAGCAGTGTGCCTGAATATGTCTCTTAGATTTAGCAGCAGGGATGTAACTGGTAACTTGGAAAAGGCAAGTTTTTTTTGCAGTAGTGAATCTGGAAGTTAGATGGTTGTCGGTTAACCAGTAGTAGGAGGTGAGGAAGAGGAAACACTAAGCATAACAACCCTTAGGGGCGCCTGGGTGGCTCAGTTGACTGGGCATCTGTCTTTGGCTCAGGTAGTGATCTCTGAGTCCTGGGATGGAACCCTGGGTCCTTCCTGCTCAGTGGGGAGTCTGCTTCTCCCTCTCCTTCTGCCCCTCTCCCACCCTGCTCATGCTCTCTCTCTCAAATAAATAAAATCTTTAAAAATATATTTAAAAAGAAAAAAAAACCCAACACAACCCTTAGAAGGAAGTGGGCCATACATAGAAGGTGAGAGACAGGAAGTAGGATAAGGGGAGGATGCTTACTTTGGGAGAACTTCCAAGTTATTTGGATACGTTGGTTGGAGACAGTTGGAAGAAAGGAGCTGAAGACAGAGGAAAGAGCATTAATAATTAAGGTCCGTCAGCAGGCAGGAGGGAAGAGCAAAGTATTAAGGAGCCTTAGGTGAGAGATGGGGGAGGAAAAAGGGGGGCCTTCAGGGGCGCAGTGTCCTCATCTTCTGTGCCTTCCAGTTCCGCAGAGGCTAGACAGAGCCAGAGCAGAGGAAGGTCTCCCAGACTCTCTTGCAGGAGGGGTCCCATACAGACGTAGATTCAGACAAACCTCCACCAGATGAGAAAGTGGAAGGAAGTGAGGCAGAGGTTATGCCCAGGCCACTTCTGCTTTTTCTGCCAGCAATTCCTCGGTGGACACGTGGGGTTTTTCTTCAGTCCTGTTCCAGCGTGCAGGTGCTTGGTTGCTCTCAAAGGGCAGAATGCTGGGCATTGCTTTTTTTGTCAAGGTGGATCCTTCAGGCGTGGCGGGACTCTGTGGCCACCAGCTGTGGCAGCTCACGGGCTAACACCCGCCAAGGCAGTGTTTCTGGGGCCAAGCGTTCCACCGTTCCTTTCCAATCCCCCTCCTTTTTGATTGTGTAAAAGGAAGCAGGTTCCTGGAAGAGCTCGTTCTCTGGTGGCGCTGTTAGTGTTAATGGGCTTGCTAGTCCAGCCCTTCCTGTGATATTGTAGAAAGCATTCTGTTCCCTGAATGAGATTTCATTTCGCTTGAAACACCTAATGTAATTTCTGTTTTCTGCAAGTCAACTCTGGCAGCAAGGGCCATCATCTATTCTCGCTTGAAAGAGGGAAGGAAGAGATGATGGGTGTAGATACAGATAAATTAGTTTCTTTGGTGATGGCCATCTCCTTGAATGTAGGAGTTTTTAAGCTGGGGTACGCAGCGCCCCAAGGGGTTCATGGATAGAATTCAGGGCATCTGTGAACTTAAATGAGAAAAAGTCTCATCTCGGGGTGCCTGGGTGGCTCAGTCGTTAAGCGTCTGCCTTTGGCTCAGGTCATGACTCAGGGTCCTGGGATCGAGCCCCGAATCGGGCTCCCTGCTCGGCGGGAGGCCTGCTTCTCCCTCTCCCACTCCCCCTGCTTGTGTTCCCTCTCTCTCTGTCTCTCTCTGTCAAATAAGTAAATAAAATCTTTAAAAAAAAAAGTCGCATCTCCTCTTCACCAACCACTAACTAAAATTTGGCATTTTCTTCAATTCTGAAGGTAGGCATCAAACTACAGCATCATCAGTGGTTCCTGTGACTTTGTCTCTAATAGAAATCACAGATGTTTGCATATTACATTAAGAGCTGCTGTAGATTTTGAAATACTGGTTAACCTCATAACTGTCGTAGTTATTAGACTTGCTGCTAGATCTTGTTCTTTAATGCATTTATAAAGAAGCACATATTACTATATCACAAGTTTTTAAACTCGAGAACTGTATTTCTGTCACAATCTCACGTATTTTATTTTATGCATTTATGAGTATTATTCTGAGAAGGAGTCCACAGGCTTCAACAGACTGATAAAACCACCCATAGCAGAAAACATGTCAAGAAGCCTGTTCTAATGTCTTCTATTTTCCCTGTAAAGCAGGAGTTCTAAACTTCAGCACTATTGACATTGTACAATGGATAATTCTTCCTTGCAGGGGACAAGTCTTTTGCATGGTAGGATGTTCATCAGCCCCGTCCCGCTGTATGTTGGCAGCATCCATCCTGACTACGTGACAATCAAAGACTTTGTCACTTGGGGGGCAAAAGGGACCGTGGCTAAGCACCGCTAACGTGAAGTAGTGCTAAGAGTGAGGGCTGGAAGGTGACCGGGTCTGAGATCTGATCAGAAAGGTTTAAAATGGATGCAACAGGGGCGCCTGGGTGGCTCAGTTGGTTAAGCGACTGCCTTCGGCTCAGGTCATGATCCTGGAGTCCCGGGATCGAGTCCCGCATCGGGCTCCCTGCTCGGCAGGGAGTCTGCTTCTCCCTCTGACCCTCCTCCCTCTCATGCTCTCTGTCTCTCATTCTGTCTCAAATAAATAAATAAAACCTTTAAAAAAAATAAAATAAAATGGATGCAACAGAAGATGACAGATTTGACAAAAGAGGGAGCAATGCTGAGGGACCAGGAGAATTCCGCACTTAGCCCATGGATAGAAGAAAGTGGTTCTCAATTTGCTTTTCTCTGCTTGACATACATGATGTATTTGTGCAGTAGAGGCTACTTGAAATGAGAATTACCTACAATCCAAAGAACTGTTTCTCCCACCAATGGCCCATACACCAACATGGCTTAACACAATGGTTGGGATATACACTGTCTTCAAGCAAAAGAATAATGAGAACATTTACAGTCTAAAAATGACTGTTGTGGCCCCTTGTTCTGCTCCTGTATGTGGAAAAGAATACTCTGGACTTGAATGTATTGGAAGTTGCTATTCTGAGAAAATCTGAGCCCAGTAGGCATGGATATGAAGGATATGGAGCAACCTTATGATACAGCAATTTCACTCCTAAATATTTACCCAAGAGAAAGGAAAACATATATATCCACATAAAGACTTGTCCAAGAGTGTTGAGAGCAGCTTCATTCATAATAGCCCCAGACTGGAAATGATTTCAATGTCCATCAACAGTATAACACACTGAAATACTATAAAGGAAGTACTACTGAGCAATAAAAAAGAATATGCAGCGTCATGAATGAAACTCAAAAACATGCTGAGTAAAAGCAGCCTTACACAAAAGAGGACTTATGGACTGTATGACTCATTTATTTGAAGTTTTGAACAAACTAATCTCTGGTGATAAAAAACATCAGAATAGTGTCTGACTCAATGTAGGTGGGGACAAGCACTGACTGAGGGGATGGGGGGATTTTCCTGGGGCGATATTACTATTCTCCACATATCCTGATGGCGAGTTGGGGTACACGGTTGCATGCAGCTCCCCAAACTCACCAAACTTCACGCTTAGACATGTGTATTTCACCATATGCAAATGCTACTAGAGGAACAGGCTGGGAAGAGGGAAAAGAAAAAAGAGAATCATAAATAAAAACCCAACTCATGGTTAATGAAATATATGCTATAATGTTTGAAATGAACTGATGTCTGCAATACTCTGAAATAGTTTAAACAATGCAGTTAAAAAATGGGTTGATGCATAGCGAGCTGGTTGAATATGTGATAAAAATGTAGAATGTTAATTGCAGATTCTAGACGGTTGAGTGTGGTTTGTGCGCCATCTCCCAACGTCTCTGTAGCTTGAAAAATTTTCATACTGCAAAATGTGAACATTTGTGGCTGAATCTCTTTATGCCTTTTGAAGTATTTCATTCATCTTTGGGCAAAGAAGGCTACTTCAACACAAGCAAAGCAGTTCATTTGGTTCTTGCCCTATGTTAACGAATGGGTCCTAAAATGCCACATGCATCAGCTCCATCCAGTGACAACCGGCGCCCACCACCGCCACCATTTCTGGATCACGGGAGCTCGTCCCAGGCACCGCGCTAATTACTTTACATGTTCTCGTCACGTAGGAAATTAGCGGCCTTCTTGGTTGTTTAACAAAAAGCTCTGGGCTGAGTCACATCTTCAGAAGATCCAGACGGCCATGGACTAGAACAAGCAGATGTCCAAGAGGAAGGTAACATCTGTGATGGTAGGTACTTTTAGGAGAATGTATTATTCAAATGTGTTGTGAAGCTACGTCACGGCGTGTGTGTGCGTGCGTGTGTGTGTGTGTGTTTGGGTGTAGCAAGCTGAAGTGGGAGAAGGAAAACATTTTAGAAAGAAGATACACACCGCAAGTCATACAAAGGAACAGTAACTTGCGTCCCATTGCTACAGAGAAATAAACCTGGTTCCTTTTCTCTTTCTTCCTGAAGCTCCTTTCTGGCAGAGCAGCGTGACAAAGGCTGCCTGGATTTGGCAACTCCAGCCCTTTTGTGGCTTTCCCCTCTCAATAAACCTTTGACAAAGGTCAGGCGTTTGAAAGGCTGGGTTTTTCCTTGTTGGGTCTAAGAGTTTGTTGCTCAGCAGAGTGACTCAGTGTCTCTAAGGG